TGGTTCCAGGTCTGGAGCTCCTCGAGGTGCCACATCCACACTTTGCACCTCGTGACATTGATATTAGTGTTAGCATTCTGTAATAATAAACTGCGGAGACCTGTACTGTGGTCAGAAAGAAGTCAAACCTTTCTTATCTCCATTGCAACTGGTATACAAGGGTTAATAGGAGGACTTGTGGTATCACACAGGGTTGTTGCTACTGGCTAATGAAAAATAAAAGATCACATAAGCTCATTGAAATCTAACTTTATCTAGACTACAAAAATACACATAAAACGACAGATCAACATTGTATACTTTTATAAGGTTAAAATAATGAAATATTTATATATATATATATATATATATATATATATATATACAATAATATATTTAAAAGCGAGGTAAATAATATAGATAGTGGCAATCAATTCATGATAATGCTACTGTTTACTTCTAAGCTACTATCTTTTGACTTTTGACTCTTGTAACTCTACACTATAGTATTGGTACTTTTACTCAAGTTAAATACCTAATAGCATTTTTCACTGAGTATTATTGGCTTCCATCTATATGTCATCCAACATAACAGATCCGTTTTTAGCTTCCTTTTTATTGCCAGTTCTGAATCAGCAACATGGCTGATTTGAAGCCGTATGCGTGGTAATGCATGAGATTTACTGTGCTCGAGATTGACATTTATTTAACAGGCATGCTGGGGGATGTCATGTAGCTCCCTTTGATTGATCTCTTCACTTCCTGCTACAAAGATGGAGGCCGCTCCCGTAACCACACAACCCCTTTCAAGCTCGGGTTGTAGGAGACGCCCTTCGGCAAGGTTCCAGGATCAGTCGGGTTCACCCTTCCCCCCAAACCTAACTGTAACCATCAGAGGAGTAAACACGACACTGACCTTAGATCAGTGTCTAGAGGCAAATCCATCCTCCTGCCTGTTCGAGAAGCCCATATGCAGTCCATATGGACCTCCTTCCTGTATCCTCTGAAGAAAGTGCAAGGTATACATCCTGAAGCCCATTCCTTTTTGATCACAGAACATCAGTTATAAATAAATAATATCTTGATATGCATGAATAAATCTGTCATTATTTTATGTTTCCCTATTTTATATAATTTACTTGATTCAAAATAGTGAGAGATGGCAGGATAAGGAACGTTTTTATTTGAACACTGTGTCCCGATATTATAAGTCCTTGTCTGAGAAATCAATAACTTTGATGTTTCGGGGTCGTTTCCACTGCTTTATATGGTCCATCATTAAAAGATTGTCTGGCTTGAGGTACTGGCCATCCTCTAAAGTTTCATTGCCTTGTTCTCGCGAGTATCATAATGGCAGACAGGCTTTTTACTGTACTATGGCTTAACTACAAGACTTTTCTACTGTGAGTATAAGGCTATATAATGGCCTCTTCCATTGAGTCCCAGCCAGAGGTAATGATTTCAGCATGTCACTCCAGGCCAACTGCACTGTGATTGCATGGATGATTAGCTCTTACAGTAATGGTAGTGGCAGAAACATATTTCAGGAGCAAGTTGGGGATAATCTTTTGTAGGGTTGCTCTCATTTCATACCTTTTTGTTTTGTAATGGGAATGTGCAATTCAATAGTCATATTAGCCAAATATGTGCTCACAGATACTCGTGTGTCCTTGTGCGTGCAGACACATGCATTTGGAATAATGAAAGGCTATTGTATATATGTAAAAGTACAATCACCGTGCAGTCATTCTGGAAAAGTAATTTCCATATTTGCTCTGCTCCTGAATCTGTGGACACCCGTCTGTTTGATGTGTTCAGAGCTGCAGCACAGATGCCACAGTCTCAGCTATGCTGGACGTCATCTCACTGGCTGTTCTCAGAAAACCGAAAAAAACACCATGTGCACCACCTCTAAAATTAGCGTGTGTTGCACATGAAGGAGAAGAGATCCGAAGTTAGAAAATACTCTAAAAGTCCCGCTGTCTCTCTTCACTCCTCTACGTTTTCGTGTCTCACTTTGGCACAGAGCCAGGCAAGATCCCCTATAGTGACTGAGCCCTCTGTCTCATCAAAGATACACGGCACGCCACATACTTTCCAATTCTGGGCTAGCCAGAAATCTGGAAATCTGATTTTATAACCCTTATGATTTGGGTTGTTTGGAGCTGCAGATAGTTTTGGTGTGGTTTGCTGCCCACCAAACAAAACGAATGAGCCCTGCCACGCTACTCGTTCCCGGCTTCCAGTGTTATGCTCATCAGTTGTGCGGCTGCTCTGTTGTGTGTTTGTGCGTAAACAAAGACAGAGCGGACACCTTTAACAGATTTACCAGATGTTTTTGGAGAAGGAAGGGAAAAAAAATCTGTTTTTCGGAGAGTGACTCTGCTGAGGTCTGTGGAGCAGGTGAGGAGAATCTTGCCAAGAACACATATCTCACAGTTGTGCTTTTGTAACTAAATCATGGAATTACACAATTTAAGCTCATCGTAAATTATTTTATGCCTTAAAATAGATGGTTTTTGAATTGTTGTGTATAAGTCAGATAAAAAACAGTCACTGTTGGCTGACCACTCTTAAAGTCGCCAGTCCGTGATGACGTGATGAGCCTGGGAGTCAGTCAGTAATGGTGGAGATAATAGGTCCTTATTACTTTGACCCATGACCCTTGTTCTTAGTGAGAAGTTTAGGAGTGCTCCCCGAGGAGCTGTCTGATTCTAGCGTGGCTCTAAAAGGAGAAACCCCAGAAGTCTTTGGAACAGTGGCCAACTCACAGTACAACCGGAACCCAATTCAGCTGGGACGGGGTGCTGGAGGGGAGTTTCTGGAGTGCTACCCATGTGTCACCCACCCTGGGAGCAGTATTTCCACCCAACCCAATGAAAGGTTTATAGACTTGAACTATAAAGGCAAACCACTAAATCTTAACACTTTTTTTTAACGCAACGATTTCCAGAAACTTTTTGGGGTTACGGTTTTTAGTGTTCATTTTTATCAAATGTTCATTAAGTGTGCCAGCGAAGTGACTTCCTCCTGAAGTCCATTAAAACGCTGCTGCTACTGGCAGAGGTATGTGCAGCCCATGTGCGGGGTTGTGGTATGGTGGGGTCCACAGAGGAGAAATGGACACCAGATGGGACCGAGGGGGGTGGAGATGCAAGGTAGAATAAAATAACACATGCAGAAGATTGAAACTGAAATGTGGTAGGAGGAGGCAGAGGAGGTGCGTGTGTGTGTGTTGGGAGGGAATAAAATAATTGGATAGTTGCATCATCTAGAGTAGACTGGTGCTATACACCCTCAGAGGATAAGAATGGGTAAACAGATATGATCTGAGGCTCTTGAATTTTTTTTGACATTTCAATATTTTCACTGCCCGTGAATAAAGTCTCACGAGCTCTTAATGTTTTGATTTACATTTCCTATATAAGTAACAAGCGTATCTTTGTTCAATGCACATTTGTTTTTTGAAGAGAAAAAGCCCACCAGGAAACCCTTGAATAGATGATTGAAAAAACAACCGCGTTGGTTTTCCATGCAAGCGTATGCATGTGTCTGAGATTGAGAACCAACATTCCTCGGTCCCAATGTGCGCTCACATAAAAAACATTCTATTTAGAGCATTTTGAGCTGCCTTGTGATCCCTCCAAACCCTTTCTAATGCAAACACTGCAGAAAAGGCAGTCAGTCAAACTTCGCAAAACTCTCCCTCTCTGTTTCTGCTGCTCCCTCTCATTATCTGATCTGCTATTGTGGCTACAATATAAACTTTCATCTGTGTCTTTCTGGAGAAGTTTTACTCCGTCTCCATAAAAACATTGCAGTAGGAAGGTATTGACTCAGGTGTTCATGCTTTAAACTGTCTTACTGCAACATATGATATGTTTTGTTTTTGCCAGCCAGCCACCCCCACTGTCTTAGTGAATAAAACATGACTCTTAAGATGTTTTTTGTGACAGTGATTGGTGTTATTTGATTTCCAGTTCATAATCTGCTGCAGCTGAAGAGTTTTTGAGACATTCCTGCATTTCTTCTGATATATATATATATACACAAGGCCAGCTATATATATATAATATACTGAAATGCCGAAACACATCAGCGCTCTATGACTCAGAGACGGCAAATAAAGGCAGCCAAACTCTGAAGGTGGGAAGAATCTGTCTGAGCATGTGCAGTATGTGGACAGGTGCAGGTGTGTTTTTGTTTGTCTTTTTTAATTAAAGTGCCAGTAGGCTCTTTTCTTGTTGCAAGCCTATTGATGTGTCTGCCGCAGTTTGCAATCTTTCAGCATCAAATCTCACTATAAATAAACCCTGCGACCTCTCAGACCTTCCTCAGAAGCCCCGCAGATTCTTTCCCTCTGTTAATATTGGTAAGGAGCAGAAAAAACATAGGAGCTAGCTTCTAGTCCAACCTTCCCAGGGATCTTTGCAGTGACATGTAATGCATGAAAACATGCTATCGTGTTTTTCTAATCCTCCCATGGGAGTCTATCACATTTGAGGGCATGTTACTTGTCACTCCCATCCTGTGACCCTACACCCCACTGCAGTTCATTACTCCAGCAGCACCTTGACCCCGCTCTGTCACTTTCCTCTCCACACTTCTATTGTTGTTGGTTTCCAATTACTGTTACCAAAAGAGTTCAATGCTTGGTTTGCAATCAGTGCAGTGTGAGCTACCTGTCATGTGTTGTATTTGTGCAGCTAATTTCTGTCAGAATTTGAAACTCTGTTATTCATGTCAGCCACACAAGACGGCCCCCCCCCCGATATAGACATCAACACTGGCTGGTTCACTGTTGCTGATCTTGGAAAATTGGAGCGACCACGTTTTTTCACGATAAATACACATTATTTATTTACAAATAAAGTGGTTATAATAGAAATAAATACAAAATAAAAATCTGAGCATTATACTTCATGTGGTATTGCACCCATTTCGAAATGTACATCAGAAATACATTTTCAAAACCAGTAAAGGAATATTCCTCTGATTAAAATATTTATTTTTTTCCCAACTTTACGTAGACATAAATATATTCATATATAGTTTTCTTCTTCCACAATAGCTCTGTTTGTCTTTCATATAAATAAACGTCTTCATTGGGAAACCGGGTGTCCATAATAACCTCTGATGTCTCTTTCAGTCTCTTTGTCCACTTTCTCTTTCTATTCATACCACTGTCAGTCTCTCACCGGCAACCACAGCCCTCCACCACCATATCCTGGTAGTTTTTCAGGATGACTTTCTCGTATTCATCCAGGTAGAGCAGGGAGATGGGGCTGAGGTCAGTGGGTACGCAACAGGCTCTGGGGATGTTCGAGTTGACTGAGTTGACCAGCGTCTGAACAATGGCGTGATTGGTAGAATTGAGGTGGTCTGCCAGTGGGAACGGACATTCCCCTTGGCAATAAAAGGCGGCGTAGCCAGGGGGCGCCACTATCCACTCGTTCCAACCCACATCACTGAAGTCCACATACAGGGCATGCCTCTTGCAGCTGGCCTTGTGCTGGTGCTTCCTGCGCTGTTTGCGGAGTGCCGCCTGACGTTTTTCCCGTGTGTGAAGTACAGAGTCACCGCGGCCGTCATGACCATACGTCACCAGCAGAGGCCGGGCCTGAGGCCACGAGTCCTGGTCCTGCTGCAGGGACCGGCTCACCCTGACATGCCTACTAGGCTTCCTGCTATGCTTCCCTTCCATGTCCCCCTCCTCTGGGTGAAGCACCTCCACCATGAATCCATGGTTGTGACCTTTCCCAGAGGTCCACTGGGACACAGCGGGGCTGACGTCAAAGCTCTCCCAGCGGCTCAAAGAGTCCTGCACAAGCCGAGTGTCCAGCAGACGAGCCAGAGGTTCCCTACCTTCAGTGGCAGGAACTCCGAATAGCTCAAAAATGTTGATACGATGGAGGCCACCTGCAGTCGCGCTGCTGTTTCTGGAGCTGTTGCTGTTGGGCGATGCAGCTCCCATGACCTGATCCCTGTAGACGCGGAGCTCTGCAGAGGTGATGAGCTCCTCATCAGGGATTGTAGTGAGGTTGAAGAAGAACTGCTGGGTCGTTTTGCCTTTCAGCCTGGCCAGGGCCTCCATAGATTCTAAGAGATTGAAAAAAGAAAACACAGTGTAAGAGGAAATAATTGGGAAATGCATGCTTAGGATGAAACAAAGAGTTTATGCATGGTACAAGAACAAGAAACAACACTTATGATTAAAGCCTGGCGTTAGGGTTCGGCTGAGAGCAGGGAAACATTGATAAATGGTTTCTCTTGCTCTCTCTCTGTCATACACTCGCACACGACTGGCTCCTGGCAGCCCTCTTTCTGCCACGTGGTTGTATTGAGTGGGTGTGGGCCATTGTCACTCAGGCAAAACACACACATCAAAACTTTGCATGCATGACTCAGTGTAATATTCTCATGGTGATGTCATATCATCATCAGTGTCATGGTCATAAATGTACCTGACTAAATGTCATGAGAAGAAAGCTGTGCTCTTCCATCTATTGTTAAGATCTAACATGCTTGTCAGACTGCTTTTTAATAGCACATTACCCTTTAAGAGTTGGCTACTGCACACAATTCCCACTATGAAAAAATGTGTAGTGTCTTTGGAAATGTCATAAAAGGTTACCATGAACAAAAGAGCAATGTGGGAATTGATTTGCATAAAAAGTAACATTATTGGCAAATAATGCATTTACGGAACATTGCTCTGAAATATTGTTGCATTGTGAAAGGAAATATAGGAAACTTTAGTATCTGATATCTGAAAATAATATATAGTTCACAAAGGGAAATCTAAGTGAACCATGTTTGATATATTATTTTCAACTTTATTGCCAACAGTTCTGAGCACTCCCTTGAAGTGTGTTTAAGACATCTATTTTAATGTCCTGAAGGATATGAAAGTCATATTTATACACTTAAGATCATTGGTATTCCCCCGCTATATTCTACCGTAAATGACAGAAATCTTAGTAAAAGCTGCAATTTTCTTTGAGGCTGCTCCACTTTGAACTCGCACTTTATGAAGTTCATAGATGATGTATACGTTTTAATCTGTTTGGTGTGGTAAAATAAACACAAACTTTGAACTCAATGCCGTTTCAAAGGAGGCATTTAGGAAATTCCACCATCTCATCCTAAACCTTCCTCCAGAGGCACAAAGACCTCAATTAGGCCTATCACTCCTTATTTGATGTGGGAAAGCCCCCTGCCTCTCGTTCCCTCTCCTCTGTCCCCAATCCCTCTCTTTCTTTCCTCCCTCAGCTCCCAAATCCCCTTCTCCCTCTGTTCTCTTAGCCCCAAATCCTCTTGTCTTCCCGTCTCCTTCTCTATCACTCGTTCTGTCTTTTCCGCAGCAGCATGCTCACTCTTACGCTCCTGTCTCTCTTCTGTAGAAACGGCTGTGTGAACAAGTCGAAGCTTGTCAAAAACGTGTGAACCGCAGATATGAGTGTATCAACATTCCTAATTTCTTTTTGCGCTGCATGCCAAAACAAAAGATAAAGGCTAATGCCGGGTCATTCATCACGGACCTGTCTCAGGCAGCCACTTCCTGTGTAATAGTGGAAATGTTCTATTTGGCATAGAAAATGGTTATTTTTGAAAACTGATAGGAGTGAAAGCAATTATCCCGGTGAAATTAATATCAGCAGGCAGATGTGATGAATGATTCGAGGTGTTTGCTTTGATGTGCTTACATCTGTAGATACATGCTATATTATATAGAGTGGCCGTCAATCGAATGTATCTTGACATGGGAAGACGAACAACCCTGCAGCTCTGTTAACATGGGATGAAAGCGCCAGAGGAACATATGTAAACACCGTCAGAACATTTGTAATAGCCGGTGGTGTCAAGGTGTGTGCTGGCTGGGTGCAGAGGTTTCCAGCAGTCACTCAGCCTCACTGCCCAGGCCAGGCTTGTTTGTAGTGTGTCAGTGTAGCCACTGGGTGTCATTGCACTAGGCCTCTGGAGAGCACCCAAGCAACCACTCAACCACCCCTCTGACTCACCCTGATGGAAACTTCCCCATTCAAACACTTAGGACTCTGTATAAGGACTTTGTGTAGAGCCCCTATGGACGCACTAACTTGTATGTTATAAAAACTGGAAGCTTGGCCATAGGAAATTCAACGGTAGTTTCTATGTATGTGACAGTATAAGTTATTTTTTATCATACATAAATAATTTCGATATATTCCACTCTGTTGCTCAGTGGTAAACATATAAATAAAGCATCAGTCGCGTTTAAATTTCACCTGTTGTTATTATTTTAGACAGCTTGAAATAAACCACTTCATCAGCAAGATGTAAAGACATGACTGGTGAAATAATGCACTTTTTACTGGATCTATGCACCTTCATTGTGTGAGCCTTATTCAATGGAGCATATGTTAACTTGGAAGCAAAAAATGGAATTGAAGTGAAACGCTGAATTCAACAATCCGCGCGTATCCAGCATATAAACTAAGTGGGCAATTATGGTGTTTTTGGAACGTGCGTAATGGCGCACAAGAGGGGTGATTTGGAAAGAATAAGGCGCAATCCCTCCTCTCCCACTTTTTTTTTTTTAACCAAGGACTAATTTCAGTCTTGTTAGAAATGACTCAGAATTCAGTCTGACACGATGACTTTGTCATAACGCGTGTTAGTATAATGTCATGTCTTGTGTTATTGAAGTAACAGGGTGATGACTATCACCTGCGCAAAAGGCACACCGCCCTTTATCCTGCTCCTGTGGTGCGTGTCTGGAAAAACTGTTTTCAGAGCCCACGCAAACACCATCAATTATTAAGAAACAAATTACCCCAGGGATACCACCGCCCCTTGATGTTTTGAGCCCGTGACAGCTGCGCCAGGGGCATGTTTGGTCAAAGGTTGCATCACTACATGCATGGGAGTTAATTTAATTGCGCATGAGATGCTTGTTTGTAAATCGTGTCACTGAGGTTAAAGCAACCCTAAACGTATTAAGGCGTTAGAAATAACGTGGACGCGTGTCACCTGTAAATGACTAACGCTCCATAAAACAGTGAAGACTCTGAAGTTGAGTCTTGGCGCATTGAGTCATGTTTAAATATAGGTTCGGGCTGTCTGAGGATCTCTCAGGCTGACAGGTAAAGGTATGTCACTAATACATACCTTCATGGTGAAAGCTTCTAATCGTGTTGGCCTTGCTGGCGGCTCTCTCTGCGTGTTTCCCCATGCTCTTGGGCCGTTTGGTGCTGTGGTCTCCGTTTGCTGAGTGCATGCGGTAAAGGTCCACCATGTACTGCGGCACCACTGCTTGCTTGCTCGGGGTCGGCTTGCGCCTCAGTCCAAACATATTGAGAAGCCGAAGCTCAAACTCGTTGAGGAAGCTCTCCGACCGCTCTGGGGTCTGCTTCCCGGATTCGCTGTATTTCCTCCGGCCGACCTCGGGGATAAGTCCCGTAGCTCCTTCCAGCAACACTTCAGCGAGCAGCAGTACCATGAGAGAGCGGACCAAGCCGAGCATGATCAGTCAGTCCCTGTGGAGAAAGTTGGATTATGTCAATACACTGGCGCTGAGGTATTGACATGAGGTACACGCAGCAGGGGCTTCACTGCAGCATTCTTCAAACTGTGTGCGATCCCCCATACAGTAAGAATGATTGAAGGAGTGCAGGTTCAAAAAGGAAGACACCTCTTCACTTTGAAGTAGAAACTAAAAAGGGAGCTGCAAATTACAAGCCCGCAGGCAATATAGCGCGTCTAACTGAACCAGAAGATTGATCTTAACATGAACAGAAACATGAAAATATCAAGGTTAGGAAGTTTTGAAAGAGAAGAACAGAAAAAAGGGGGGAATGACACGGGGAGGACAAATCAAAGAAAGTTGGGGGGGGAGACTGCAGACATAAAGTCTCCAATTAGATGAGATAAGAAATCACGTTTCGTTAGTGAAGTGATATGAAAAGAAATGCAAGTGTGCGTGGCCCCAAAGATCACAAGAGGTGTGAAAGAATGTTGGAGAAAGAGTTAGAATACAAAGCAGCAGGAGAGGCAGGCAGACAAGCGTCTATTTGCAGAGGCTTTGACGGTCATGTATAATCATAAGGGATAGAGTTACTTCAAGAGGCTCGCAGGTGTTAGATCTGACGTGCGTACCAGAGCCAGATGTAGCCCGGGACAAGACATCAAAAACATCAAAAACAAAATATCATCTGAGTAACAAAACCTCCAAAGAAACAACCTTTTACACGTATTTCTGTTCCCCGAGGTTCAAAACGCTTTAACTTTTACGCACACACCATATGAGCTTTACACAGTGGGATAACTGTATATTTCTAGTTGGTAGGTAAACGTTTTATCATAAAGCAAGTTATTTTACACTTGGTGACATTAATAAGATTTCGTTTCTTGTTAAAAAATGTTAAACAGAGTGTATTTGTCTTGTTTTTACCTGACGAAGAAGCGCTGTGTCCGGTCGTCGTTCCACCTTGGGGCTCCGATAAATTCCACATTAATTCGTGTTTAATCCACGCTGCTTCTCCTTGAGGGACCAAAGACAGCCCATGCCGTTCGCCGATCTCTCGCACATATTCTCACCAGCTGCAATTCGGGTTAGGTCTTGGTCAGCGCGGAAAGAAGAAACAAAAAACTATGTTAAGTCTATGAGGAAGCGGCTTCGCGTAGGCAGGACCGATCTAAGTATAACGCGTCTTGGTTGAACATCTTCAAAAGAGAACAGCTCTCTGAGACAAAAGTTGAGCTGGCTTCAGGAGAGATGAGCGCACCGGAGTGTCGCTCCTTGGACCTTGTTGCTTCGAGCGCGTCGCCTCTGCTCTGTGCGCCACAGCGTAGTGGTTGAATTGATTGGTGCCTTCTCTTCCCCCTGCGACTCCTTTTGTCTACAGTGATGTCACCAAGGGGCTGTCAATCATGTGTCCACTAAAAAGCACCTCCTGCGGACCTCTAACCCAGAGGCTCCAAGCTTTTTTTTCATCACTAATGATATCAAATAAACACAAATCCATGCTCTTTTTTGATAAGATTTGGCCACGGGAACCCCCATGGGCTTTTGTGTATTAATGGATTGGGTCAGTAGAGTAAAAAACAGTTGGAATAGTAGCCTACATTTTATACAGTCTCATAATTCAGTAATACTTGTTAAAAATAAATCCTTATGTTCCGAGATACTTTGGGAGTAATTAGCATGTAAAAAAATACCCTTATTACAAACAACTCTTTATCTCTTGCATCTTAACACACCCTGGAAATTCACACCATAAAAATAGTTATAGAGTCAACAGTTAAAACCGTACTGTTGCTTTTAGTTGTTTGCTTTTTGGGGTGATTTTCCATACATACATAGCGAACATCTATTTGCTTCATGTTTTTAAATAGCATCAACATGTCTTGTTGCACTTCCTACAAGGTGAAATATTCCTGTGAATCCGACCACACGGAGCAAAAAAGCATGTCAACTCATGCTGCTTCATAACAAGATAATTAATCAAAGGTGTGAATAGCTGGATCAAACATGTTTAGCTTTTGGATTAAGGCGAATAGATAATGGTTTCACAATGTGTTGCTTTTGTGGTTTAAGGGATTAGTTCCTGCAGAGGGACTATCACGTCCTCCCACTGAACTTCACTGTGTGGGTGTAGGAGGGGGGGGGGGGGGGGCTTGTACATGTGTGTCTGACACCAGAGCAGATTTATACATGCTTCCTCTTGGCGGGATCTATCTTTTCATGTCATTCCACTTCACAGAAGTTTATCAATATATCAGTGTCTGACTTTGGCTGCATGTTGATGTTCATATCCACTATATTGCTTTCCCAAGAAGACATCATTTAGCTTAGATAAGGGTCCTCATTTTAAACCTCTGCTTGGACAAAATTGTATCTTAAATAGGTGGTTTTGGCCTGATATAAAATGTGTATGTCTTATTTTTGCTCAACATATGTCAAACATGATTCATTAATGTTGAAAAATGCTTCTACATTTAGAAAAGTACCCTCTGTATTTGTACAGTTCAGCTTTCAGTGGCCAGAGAAACTTTGCTGCATTGTTTCTAGCCCATGGGGGGTAGTCATCAGCATTAATGTTTGGGTCATCTCCATAAGAAAAGCCCCCATTGATTCCCTCTAGTGACTCCATTAGGGGATGATGGTTGGGCAGGCGGCTGTGTTTTGGCCAAAGCACCCGGCCTGTTTGCTTCGAAGAGATGGCAATAGATTATATCCAACAGAGATCACAAGATATCTTTGTTTCCTTCCAGGACAATAACATTTTATGAGGGATAATCCCAGATCATCCATTTAGCAATTAAAATACAGAGAGGCCCGTGGGTGCATTCCGTTACCTGAGAACAGCGGTTTGGCCTTCCCCTCGCTTGATCCAAGCACTTGTGATTTTACACATTTTTGGTGGTTGAATGCTCCTTTTGCTTTCCTTGTTCCTTTTGCCTTTTATTTAATTACCAGTATCAGTTAACGTTGACTCACAGTGACACATACTTTCTGTCAAATCTTTCCCATCCAGTTCAATCATTCTTGTATTTTTCTATTCATTCATAAAAATGTGTTATGGGAACACTGAAATCATTCATACTGCTTAGATTTTCTCTATTGTGGCGTTAATCTGTTGGCAGCGAGAGTTGGGTCTCTGATGTTGCCAAAACACCACTTGGTGGACCTAGTGCTCTAAACCCAAACCCAGGTAAAAGCTGCTCGGCATTTAGATTGGGGGATAAGGCCTCACACAGTAAGCTGTGAGTATCTTTAATTACCCGAATGAGAGGGCTTTATTTGATGTTTTGTCCCTCTTTTTCTCTCTGTATTATATAAGAGTGTGGTTTGAATGAGTAGGCATGAAAGGGTGTATGTATGTGTTTTGAGTGCACGTACATTCATATATTGAATGTGTGTGTCTTGGCATAGCTTGTGTCTGGCCAGCTCTGAGGAATGTGTCCAGCCGAGGCCATCGAGAGACTTCATCAGAGCACTTTGAGAAGATCATGCAGCTTTGATAATGTATATATCATTGTTTTGAGGCAGATACATCGGGCTTATCTAATCGCTTCGGCTGATCCAATTACATGCTGATTGAAAGGACAACATGGCAGAGCTAAACTCTGGCAGCCAGGTAGAGATATGCTATCTGAAACACAAATGAACAAGCTGCTGAGGAGGGCTCTGCGAGGTTAAACTGTGACTCGGCCGGACAGCGTTAACTAGGAACGACCACCACCATCAGTAGCGACATAATTACCTTCCAACAAGCCTTTGTTTAATCGTGATTGCAGTATTAAACTGTCCCTGAAAGATATCACATGGATCTCCTTTGTTCTGTAGAGCCATCCGTCATTAAGACAGTCATTTATAAACATATTTTCTGGCAATATTTCTAGATGTTCTTCTGTTTCCATCAACAGATTATAAGAAGGGGAAACATTATTCAAGAGTAAATGCAGTTTTGTCAAAACAAGCGCATATGCTATTCTGGGATTCCCACACTTGAGTATTTCTCTAACAAATATATACTGTACATATTTATGGTGGTGTAGCAGTAAATCTGTTTTATGGATCCTGTTGCAATGAATCATCTTATACCAAACACAGGGATTTAACATAAAACATACCATTTGACTAGTTGAGGAAATAAAAAGCATAATTTTCAAAGATAAAAAACATAGTTATTTTCTGTACAAACTAGCTTAAAGGTGGGGTAGGTAAGTTTGAGAAACCGGCTCGAGATACACTTTTTGTTATATTCCATGGAATGCTCTTAACATCCCGATAGCAATGAATATCTGAAGTGCTTTGACAAAAAAACATTAAAAAATGTCATCTGTGGAAGCCGTAGTACTGTAAAAAGCACGACCAATCATTTCAGCCGGCCCGGCTAAAATAACTGGATGGCCTACCTGCCTGTCAGCCTTCCATCTGTGCACAAACTTATCTCGTGCCCTCATTGGTCATGTGCGCGTTCGTGTGTGTTGGAGGAGGGGCTCTGTAAGGAAGTGGGAGATTTTTTCCGGCTGTGTATTTTCAAATTCTAGCGCACTCGAGCTGGTTTCTCCAAAATTACCTACCCCACCTTTAAAGTCAAAACATAATGACAAAAAAATTAATAAATCGGTAACATTTGACTTTTTGGGCTTCAGGAAACCTTCCATAGAGACAAGTAAATATGTTATAATCCCACAGGTGTGTTGAAAAACAATGCATTAAAGCATCATACATCCTCATAACGGGGGTTTAGCTTCGGACAGGTGTTATCAGCTTAAACAAAAAAAAAATCTGAAATCCTTTAGTCCGAGCGGTAAGGACTAATGTGACCCCTGAGGCCTTCCCTCTGTGCTCAGGAACAACACATCTAAAGCTCTCAGACATTTGGACACTCTCTTCCATGATGGATTCTTTTTGTGTTCCATCTCTGGTTGCTGTTTGACTCCATATCTCTCAATATTCTGACCCTTGTCATTATAAATCAATAACCCGCTCTCACAATTGGAAGACACTTTTAGGCTAAAATTCAGGTTAGCATAGTAATGCTGCACAGTAAATCATTGAAGGCAGCCACTAATTGTATTAATCGCAAGTCATTTATTTATTACGATGAGGTTATTTAATATTCTTACACCAGATTAGGTTTTCGTATAATGAAAAACAGACCCTCACCTGCATATTATATATTTTTCTAATCATTTGAAAGTCAGATTTCTTCACTGGTATGTCCATTCATCCTTCACCTTTGGGTAAAACATCTTCAGTAACCAAAAGAATAATATACAGTAAACCACCGTCATGTACTGTTGCTTCAGCTAATAGATGTATCTTTTTCCTTGTATGGAAACCCCCTTAAGGGAGAACAATGTGTAACACATAACACTTATAACAAAAGTTGAATGAATCCATTCAAGGGGGAATGCTTGAGGTTACTTAAGGGAGATTAGGTTAGTACGTGTTTTGTTGTTTTAATACGTAAATCCTGGGAAAGACGAGAAGACTTGGTTTATTGTCCATGCTCATTTCGTTGCATGCCAAAGTAAGTGTGCAGTTCGTGTGCAGTGTGTGTACGCATGTTCTTCTGGATGTAGATGGTGCGGCCTTCTCTTGTCATCACGTACATTCCAGGAGTCAGGGGGCAGACGAAGCCCTGAGATGACACTGCAGATCCAACTATTAGCCTTTCACCTGCTGTTAACAGAAACTTGGCTAGACACAGGGCCTGCATTCCTCCCACCTTGAGCCAGATGTAGTGTTAACACACAGTAACATACCTACAAGAAGATAATCTTCAGAGATGTTGCTCGAAAAACCAGGGAACGATTTGTCACTGCGACTCGCCTCTAATTCTACACTCGGGCGGCCTTTTTAATTTGGAAACCGATAAAAACTTCATCAATCCACATGTGTTTGACAGCAGAAGCACGACTTCGGGCTATGCAGAGCCTGAGCACATGGTGCATGAAAGGGATTGTGGGAGAATGGCACACATTTCATATAGGTTGCTCCCAAAATGGAAACCCACCAAGGTCAGAGACGGCCAGCTAGAAAGCCAGAGTCAATATTTATGGATACTGAACATGTGGCACACTTCTCTACCCACTAATTTGAGCAACAAGTCCACCCCCAGATTATATGGCCTCTCAAGAGATCACAAAACAGGGTCCAAACCTTGCTCGCATGTTTCAAATATTGAGAAGCACGTTGAGGTTGGTCGCTGAGTAGAAGCTGCATGTGCATAATTTGGCAAATTGGCACACTGTTTATTTGTTTGTGTTTTAATTTCCTGTCTAAATAGGGGATCACAGAGCTTTGATCAGGCAGTGAGGGTTGCTCCTTTATGCAGATGTACAGTTT